AATAAAATTTGGACTTTAAGTAAAGATTCCTGGCAACAAATGAACACATGTTCTTGAATTTTTGAGGTTTTGTGATAACTCTTTTTCAATGTATTCAATGTACATGACGTGCTGATTAACAGAGCAAGAAAACACTTATTGCCTTGCAGACATACTAGATTCTTCCCTAATGGAAAACTCCAAATGACTCAAATCTTTGTTTTATCTCACGAACCACTTCAAGCATATTATTATACAATGTCCGACTAATGTACAACGCAACACGTTTTTACAGTATTTTCAAGGCATCTGTTACGAGTTTACTGTGACAACATACCGCCATTTCTTTACTGCCACAAAAGAATATTCACAGAAAGGTGGACTTTTGACCAAGTCGGAAGAAATAAATTTCTTCATTCAAAAAGGGCTTAGTGATACCTACAATGAGCGGCAAGACACATGGATAGGTCTTGACGTCGGGAATGGAGAGAGAAATTTCACGTGGGCTGACGGTAGTGATGTGGAGTACGAAAACTGGGCACTTAACGAAGGCGGGCGAGTTGGTGGCAGGTTGGACGCTTGTGCCACAATAGACCCTGTCAACGGGACCTGGATCGATTATCCATGTCAAGGATTTCTTTTTGAAGAAGTGAAGCCTTACATTTGCCAATTCAACGCCATTCAACCTTCCATCACCCAATCCCCAACCATTGAGAGCTCTGAGGAGTAGCCCCCATTTTCCTGTGATCTTGGCTGTGAGAATGGTTATTAAAAAGATAGGACCTAGCGCAATATTTGTAAACAGGGAGCCACAGATTACCCCCCCCCCCTTGATGCGGATTACTAAAACGTGCTTACTTTTGTGTGTCCCCTGATTTAGACCCATTTAATATAACTGAGAAATAAAAAAATACTAATAATGGCACTCTGGCAATTTTAGGAATAAAACTTCAATTCAATAATAAACAGTTTATTAACCTTGTTCAACTTTTGGTTGTTGCTGGTATTGACGTTCTTATGATAACGTACATGGCATCAACCAGTGTACGAAAAAGTGTCACGTACGTGTGTTGTCTGTGTTCATGCTTGTTTGTTTGTGTATTTGTGTATGCTGGTATATTTATATATAT